TCAATTTATCATTGGTTGTACTAATCAAAGTAATCATAACAATGGTGATAAAAAAAAAATCAGAACCGTATCATTCACGATGATACCACTCATAACAATAGCGATAAAAATCAGAACAGTGCCATTGATGATGATAATACTCATAACATCCGTAAGCAACGAACGCATGATAATGGTATTACCACGAAAAAATGACGATAAAGCCCCCTCAACAGCGGTGGTCGATTGCTACTACTGCCAGCAGGGCTAGGAACAATAACGATTGAAATAGCAACTATCACTATTATTGCTACGGGTATTGCCTTCGCGGTAAAACTCCTACTTATCTTCTTGCTATTTCTATGAACCTGATCATTGCCTATGATTTTTCTTATGACAGTTGTTCTATTCGTAGCATCATCACCAAGGCAATTTAAATGATCGAAATTCAGCGTAAGAAACAATCATACTAGTAGCTCGGATGCTAAAACGTTAGAAATCGCAGTAGGCGCAGCCCCCCTGCACTTGCATAACATGGTTGACGATGAGAACATGCAATTGGTTGCAAAGCTTGGTGTGGTTTGCCACGCCGTGCCTTGATGTTGCTTGGACGTACAGAGCCAATTCAACTAAAGCATCATGCATATTTACACGGATGATGTACCAGGAGTCATAATGACAGTACTAGCAATACTAATAATAGCAGAAATGCAGAGATGGGAAGCAAAGAAGGAGTCCAAGACACCAAAACAAAGCGTGAAGATATATCCAAAATGCCTAAGAAAAAACAATGCTCCCTCAGTAACCCCTTGCCGGGCCTGCGCCGGCCAACACATACATTACTGTCGTCGCTTCCGTCACCACCACCACAGTAGCAGTGGCAGCAGCAGGAGAAGTAGCAGCAGCACAAGTTGTGGCGGTGGCGATTGCCACCACTATCGTCACTATTCGTCACTGCTCAGATCCTACCATTCAGCCCACGGTGCTGCGTTCAGAGACTTGACGCGCGCTTCATGCCGCTGGATCTCCTCCTGCACAAGGTCAAGGAGAACAGTCAAACACAAAGTGAATCTGAGCCCATCCCACGTTCAAGGCCCTCTTAAAGCAGAAAGATTGCGGCTGGTCAAACCTATCGAACTGGAGCAACGGTGGGAGCGCCTGAAAACTGCAGTCTTCGAAACTCATCAGGTTTGAACACCAAGTCCAAGTCACCATCATCTTCGCGTGGCTGATAACATGACGTTGAAAATAATGACTCAGGACTCATGACCAAAAAATCTGTGCACAATTATGTCAATGATTCAGGCTGGGTGGTCTCTTGGAGCCTGCCTGCAACTCGCGCTGTTCCTGCTCCATTGTTCGTCGGACCTGCTCCCTCTTCTCCTGCGACATGAGTTTCATAGGGATGTTGAACGCATTTTGACGTGACATCAAGCCAAGGAAAAACGGGGCAGGCATCATGACAAACCCGACAATCCACATTGCATTGTGGGATAAGCGCACCACATTGTTCCCCAAGCCTGTACAATCTTACACTCCCCCGCATCGAAACCTGAAAGGTACTGCACTGCATGGACACCTTCTGACAGTATGAGCGGTTGCAAAACATAGATCCTGCAAAGCCAGGGATACCGCATGAAGCGTGGATGCATGCATGTTGACACTTCCTAAAGCCAAAATTCTGACAACTGCCCATGACCCCAAAACATCCCCATGTCGACCGCTACCTTTTTCCTACTGAACCCTTGTGCCCCAGAAACCCCAAACCGCAGAGAGGGCAGTTTAGGTCCTCCAGTCTGCGACGCCTCTCCTCCAGCTCCTCCCTTGGGCAGCAACAAGGTTCAGAAAGAGCTTCATCTCTCAGGGATTTAGAATTCAGGGGTCAAGGATTAAAACCTTAGAAAATTTCCGGAAAAGCTTCATGCCATGAAAATCCGAAACATAAAAAATATCATTCCTCAATCTGACGTTGTTGCACATGTCCGTGTCATCTACTAATAATGCATTTGTAGCCCCTGCCCTCCCCAAATAAACACTTACCATCAAAACCAAGAGGTAATGAGAATTCCCAGGCCGCAACCAGACTTAGCATCCTTTGGACAGCACCATTGGATACTTTGATCACGAGGCATGCCCAATGTCAGTCCATCCCGCTCCCCAAACATGAGACTTGTCAGCAAGAAACTGACACGAAGGAACGCCTGGGATTCGAAAGCCAAAGCATTTTTTATTGCGTATACGGGCACAGGCAGGGACATGGATTCCCTACCCATGCTTAATCAGAAATGCCAGTAGACGCCCCTGCTTCTGAATCTCAACAAGCATGAGTAAGACTGCCATCCATAAACCTTAAATGATGGCTTCTATTTCTTTCCGGCCTCCTCCTGTCCTCTGCCTCCTGGTCCAGGCGGATGCGCTCGAGGATGAGAACTGCCGCCTCCGCAGGAATTTAAGCTTAGCTCTTGTCAGGCTTGCTCAAATTGACTGCCACCATCCTGTGATTTTAAACTTTGCCCCTCCTCGTGCCGAACATTCCTCTACGACGAAAGAAAGGTTACAGCTTCAACTCTGAACTACTGTCACAGTGCCTTCTTCTTTTTCCACTGGCCATTCCAGCCCTGTAAGTCTCGCTCCAATTCCTGTTCAAAGATTTGGAGCTCGGGATGTGTTGAAAAATCTGTCAAGGAACCGCGCAGCAGAGGGACAATTTGGGCGAGAGGGCAAATTAGGTTGTGGCTCAGGAGGTTCCACGACTGACATGTCAGAACAAATTAGTAGAAACCCGTGGATTTAAGGAGCCTAATTCAGCAACAAATGCTACTTCATCAATGGCCCTTTCTGAACCCTTGAAAGTTCTGAGAAAGTTTCCAGAACCGTCCTCCAAACTGGGAATCTCCTCATCCTTGAGCTCCGAGCTCGACTCCCGCTGCACCAGACCTTTCAAATGTTCTGTCCTTAAGCACCATTAGACCCACTACTCGGATTACTGTTACTGATGCTATGACAATGACCGCGACTTCAATGCTTCTGCAAGTAGCTGCCAAGCTTACACTTGCACCTCGCTGCTTGCTGAAGCGTCGGAGATTCCGTGATTCTGCAAGCCCGTGAGCGATGCCTGACCAGGCTAAAGCCAGCAGACTCTGCAGAATACCCTAAATGGGTTCACGCGGCTGAAGAAGCACTCAATTGAGCTGTGAGGATAGCAGCTTCAAAGCCATCGTCCAGAACTGTCCCAGCTAGACCGACAAGCCACGGAAGCAAGGTGGAGCCTCAACCTTCTACCAACCAAGGACTAAGGAACCTCAAGGGCATGCTTGAAGCATGAACTGGCCTCCAGATTGTGGCGTGAGACTGGTGCTTGATGAGGGTGTTGTCGGTGCCCAGGAGCCTGCAGCACATGCTTCTCGTACTGCAGCAAAGACGATACAGCTTCCAGTTCCTTGCCTAGGCCAGAATTCAGCCTCCTTGCACGCAAAGGGAGCTGCAGAAAGTCGTCTTCATGTAGCGCAAACAGTGCATAACAAGAACCAGCACGGCAGAAATTCCAAGAATAGTTCGCGCTACCAGGACAGAGTGTGTACTACTGCGACTACAACTGCCACTGCCACCTCCCCGCCACGGCCGCTGCCAAGTCCCAGACGCCGAAGCAGCATTAGCACCAGCATCGGCAGCAGCAGCAGCAGCAGCACCACCACCACCACCAGCAACAACAACAGCAACCACGCCGCCGCTGCCCCCAACCACCACCAACACCAACAACGCAACCGCCGCAACCAACACGACCACCACTACGAGAAGAACGCGGAGGGTCCTAGCACCAGAACGACAACGCTGCAAACCGCTGCTACTACTGCGGCTGATCCTTTACTATCCTGACAATGATTACTGCTCGCTGCTTCTGCTATGCCTCCGTCCGCAGCTATGGCTACTGTTTATGCAATCATTAGGAGACGGTACTTGCATGTGCTATGGTATTCAGCGGCAAACACATATTTTACTTGGCAGGAATAAAGCTGCTGTGGCAGTGGCATCATGATACAGGTGAGACTAGTATTGAAAATAACCTAGAACAATGATACTTGTTGCGAGTTCTGCGTCCTCGCGCTGGGCTTCGGCGCAAAGCTTCCTGCGCGCATCTGGAGGGGTTCCAAACAATGAAGCCCATGTCCGACAGGTGTGTGTCATCTAGTGCGCTGTCCTTCTGATCTCTAACTGTCCCATACACCCCACGCCATAAACCCCCTGAGCCCCCTTAACCTACCCTTAGCACTGGCCCCCTTTTGCATTACCCCTACCCTCAGCGTGAGCCCATAAACCCCGCCGGCCGGGGGAGGATCAAAGCTGCATAGATCTCACAAACTCCATGGTAAACCTCCTCGACCTAGCCACCTAGAACCTACATCCCACACCCTCAACCCTAAACCCAACCCTAAACCCTAAACCTTACACCCCAACCCTGAGCCATCCTCCCCGGGTGGGCAGGAGATTCGGAAGCTGCACCGTACCCAAGTCTAGCTCCGGCGCGGTGGAGCGGCGCAGGTTCGTGCGCATGGCTGACGCTGGTTGCTTCAGCACAAGTAATGCAAGTAATGATGAGGACGATGATTGATATAGCAACAGTAGGAGTACTACAACTTCTTCTTACTGCTACCGTACTTACGACTGCTAAGGAGGAAGAGGAGCAGATGCAGCAGCAAGTTTGTTTTTTATTGTTGCTGCCTTGTCGTTGACTTTACCGCGGCTGCTACCAGTGTTCGCTAGCAAGATGTACCAACGCACAAATTCCATCAGCATGTTTTAGCTAAATTTCGACTTTCAGGAATAGGGAAGAGTATTCGCCATCAGGGCTCTCTATGGGAATTCAGCTCGAATTGGCTCACCAAACACATCAAAAAGCAGACAACTGCAAGCATAAGAGCTTACATGAGCTCACATGAAATCACTCTTCAAGGCTGCTGGTGTTCAGCAGCCTTTTTGTGAGATGCTGTTTTGGGCCGATGAAGGATGCAGCAATTTGCGCTCTACCGTTCCAGGTCCATCCGGTCTCTGCAGAGAAATTGGCAAGCAGCCTCCTCCCCTTCCAGTCTGCCATTTTTGCCATACCATCGACACTGAGCCAGTTGAATGTACGACCTGACTTGCAAATGAAAAACATGGAGGGACCTCCGTCCTTGGAAGCTTTGACTCGCCAGTGGCAAATTTGGCTTTGGACAGACCGTGCCGATCAAATCAGCTGACGAGAATTACACGCACATGCAAAGCTATGGTAGGAGCCAGCAACGACATGTACATACATGGCTTTTCTCGGTGCCACGCTGACTGGTCGAGGCACCGATGAACTTCTCTTGCAGGATGCCCTCGTAGGTGACTTTCCCTGAGGCATGTAGGACATCCCCCTGTCCTCGCGTCAAGCAACAGTCCCACTGAGATTTGCACCCAGCTGAGGATGCGTGTACTGCACACTGACGTGGGACTGCGCAGCGGGAAGAACTTCAGACTGCAAAGCAAAGTGCAATAATGGCTTCCGCACTTCCTTTTTGATCCCCAGCGCCGGTAGCTTGCCACTTGCTTCACCAGGCAACGGTTTTGAGCCACGAAAGCTGGTGGAAAATGCATATGTCTGCACTGGAAGCAGATCGGAAGACGTCTAAGGTAAACTGTCACCTCAGGTGCCTGTTCACAGAAGGATGAGGCTCCAAGCAGTTCTCGAACCTCCCCGTCCTTGCAATGCATATAAGCAAGGCATGGCATGCGCTGTTTGGGGCTCGATTGGCTTCTTCACGGGGGGAAATGAGGTGATGGCCGCGACTCAGGCAGCTCAGCCAAGCCACTCTGCACGATTCATGAACAAAGCGCAAGGTGGTTCATGCTCATCTAGAATATACTATCACGTGATGACTGCTCTTGGACGCACTCCACGCACATGAAACCGGGGATTTGTGAACTTGACGCTTGACGAAAGCAATCACTCTGCGTCTGGACTGCTAAAACACTTAGCGGCTGAGGTGCCAAGGGGTGAAGCGACACGCCAGACCCAATGCATCCCAAAACTTCACCTGAAGGTGTCTGCTGCAGAAGGGAGAGGACTTCTGGCATGCAGCTTGGCAAACAAGCGGGTCTGCATGTCATATGACATGATGACATCCAACAAGAATGGGCAGGGCTGGCTTGTCACAACTTTTCCTCAAATAGTCCTTGCCCATGACCCTGGTCCTCATACAGATGGGGTGATATTGGGGCTAGATAAAATTTTGTCAGGAATTTCATAAGGGTTATATGGGGGTGATATTAGGGCTATATGGGGTTTCATAGCAAACCAAGGCCAAGCGGAAGGTAAACAGTAGCCACAGGCCTCAGCAGAAGATGAAACTCGAAGTCCAGGTTAGGCAGTTCGCAACGACTGCGATGCAATGCTTAAGGTTTAAAGGTTAACTTAGCCATAGGAGACTGCATCCTCATTTCTCCTGACCTGCTGCAACCTGGCGTTAAGCTGAATATGAGCACATGTGGGTATATACACCTACCCCTACCTGGATGCATGTTTACATCCACACAGGCTAGGCGGCCAGCATCATAGCTGAAGGAAAAGATAAATAGAAGACAACTTCTAGCGGAAGAAGTTGCTCAACAGAAGCTAGGGGTGGCTATCAACACTTACCCAGCGAACCTTTGTTCTCCTCTCCCTTGCTTGCCTTAAACATGTGGTGTTGAAGCTGTGTAGCTAGTTTCCATTTAATTTTCCATTATGCCAATATAACCCTATGTAATATAGTAGTTTCCATGTTATCTTCCATTATCCCTGTCCATACGAGCCAGCCCGCCTCTTCCAAGCCTGTCGCGCAAAGAGATTAGCCAGGAGATCGACACTGCTCACTGCAAGACATTCAAAGGCAAGGACGAGGCAGCTTTTCTTCTCTTCGAAGTTCCAAGCTATGACTCTTAAAGTCTATCCGCTCCCAACCCTTCAGCTGGAGCAATTGGCATGCATGTGACACTTATCCTTCCCGCTCTGTCTCATCCAACGAATGCCATCAACGGCAGCATGAGAGGCTCAACCCCAAATCATTGGGACAGCAGTTGCCTGCCAGACCAGCACACTGCGTGTGGCGGGAGCAGGATGCTTCGGCTGCTGGCGCAGGTGGCGGAGGAGCTGGAACACTGTTGGGCTGAGGGGTAGGGTGCGATTGCTCCCACCGATGGCTGTCATCGGCGTTTGACCAGTGGATGTTGGGTGGGAACAATGCTGGGTTCCGCTGGCAGCCACCATAGGCACCCTGACCGGCCATGTAGACGAAACCAGGGATACAAAGGCATTTGCTGTCATCCGAGCAGGCTGTGAACTTTTGCTGACATTCATTGAAGTAGCACGTTGCACCAGTATCTTGAGGAGAAATGACCTGGGACTTGTGTCGCACAGACATGTCTTTGCAACCACGAACGAAACACACATGTCAAAATGCACCTGGATGTCTATCCCACACAGGACCGAGGGCATGACTTCAGCCCCTGCAGGCGTGTAGCGGTGCACGCACTGCTTCACGCGCGGGTTCCACACGTAATCCGACTTGCACACACACCGAAAGTGGTAGCAATCCGTGGGGCCAAGGCTGGCATCGCAGTTTGACCACCTTACATGCTTGCAAGGAATCATTGAAATTCATGCAGGAACTGTCAAGATTCTGGTCTGAATCTTAAGGGTTTTTGAATAGCTCAAGGTCTGGCATTTGGGGATCAGATATTGTTTACGGTTCAGATAGGTCCTTGAAAATGTTGGAATGGTACGAGGGAAGCCATGTTTGAGACTGAAACGTGGATAGAAAAGAACACAAAAGAGAAGCAACAAGAGAGATGTAAGACACCGGCGAAGAGAACGAGCAACAGTAAAAACACAAGAGTATAGTATCCACAACGTTATGATGACCGGTAGAGCGGCATGCAGATGTTGCTTGTCTCACGTGCGCCCTGCCAGCCTCCAGTCACGTTCAAGCCACTCTTTGCCCTGCCCTGGCTTTGAAGAAGGTTCAACGCGCAGTCGGGGCCAGTGCACACATCGTCCACAACCAAGGCATCTTCCAGGGCATGAGCCCACAGGAATCCAAGCATCACTTTCAGAACAATGCCCGCCATCTTCAAAAATCAGAACGCTGTCAAACAAGGGAAGAGCAAATGGCACGCAGTGCTTTAGCCAAAAGGCAACGAATCGCGGATTGCAAGTGTGGCACCTTTCTTTGCTAGCAGCAACCATGACCCCAATCAACACGTTGATTTCAATGGCAGACACACCCGCGCAGCCTCAGCATCGTGGCACGCCCCAATTGCAGTGGTGCTGCCAACAGATGCGGCCAGACTCCTTCAAGGGTTAAGAAACAATGGACCGCCTGGGATGCACGGGCAACATACCGATGGTATCAGTTGACAACACCAATCACAAGAACATTTGGTAATAAGCACCGCCTCATGTCCTTTGACATCCTCTTTTTGAAGGGAGTGAAATCTGAAAATGCGTAAAATGCCCAGTCCAGAGAAAATGCCCAGATTAAGGGCAAAAAAAGCTTGATTTGAGTTGTGAACATTGCTTTCTTTGTATTAGCTATCCGTACATGGGGGGTTCAGAAGGTGATTTTATACGAGGGGGGGTGGGTATGTAATAATGAAATTATCTGGCCTAAAGAAATCGAAAAAAATCACAGCTCGCATTTGATATTAAGTTAAGATCTTCTCTTTCCTCCTTCCTTGGCTATTCCTACTGTACAGTTACTCCTCTTCCTCCAACTACTCCAACTCCTACTACTCCTTCCGACCACAACTGCGACATACTACGAGGGCCCCGTAACTTTTATTATGACAAACTGTTTCCGAGATCTTTGTTTCAAGATTGGTCTACCCAGAATTCCTGGGGTTATTCAATGAAACCTCACAGTGAGGAGATCGGTCTGCACTTGCTACACCCAAAAATCCAAAACACCCCATCACTTACTGTGCCCACCTGCCTCACTCTCCAAAACGACACAGGCATGGTAGCGCCACGCACGCTGATGAGCAAAGGAGGCCTCCACACACAGAAGCAGAAGCAGCAACAAAAGTAGCATTCATAGTGGCTTGAAGTAGAGGCAACAGCGGCAGCAATCAATGAAACAACCAGGCCAATAGAATAGCTTGATCTATTCGCGGCATTGTCTATGGTGGTGTGGACTTCATGATAAGCTATTAGCATGAAATCAAATTGTCACCCATCAAACTGAGGATGGCACTGTCTCTTGTGTCCGACGCATGAAGCGGACAATGTCAATGTCTCAGGGTGCACAAGAAATAAACCAGACATCAGACAGCGGGCTCACAACTTTTGCTAAGTCACTCAGGCGTCAAATGACGCATTCAGGACCACCCCTGAAGGCAAGGCAACTGCGAGTTGTTCATCAATGTCGGAAGTGAGGCGTTCTTAGAACAATGGGCGCATTCATGCGCAATGGACCGAGACCAGCTTCATGTCCCAAGTGTCTCACACTGCTTCACCCTTGCCCCATGTCGTCTGCTTCAACTGTCACCGAGGTCACCCCAGCCTTCGAAAAGCCTTCATCCCACCGAGTCCACGTGGCGGCTGCGAAGTGATGCAATCTGCTTCTCTGTAGTTGGCCAAGCAAATGCTCAGGAAGGCAGGTGGCAACCAGCAAAGCCGCAATTGGTTGACAGCCTCCCGCGCAGCATCGGTGCGACGGCGGCCAAACCCTAACGCCCCACGTTTCTTTTCTGGTCTTCAAGCCTAAAGCATTTTACACGGAGCAATGCTCACACTGAAAGCTTCGCACCATGATGCATGTGGTCAGGAGAAGAACGGGCAAGCTTGGCAGGGCAGCTGAAATGTAGCCAAATGATGCGGGGACATCATGACTTGCAGCTCGTGCTCCACCAAAAGCTAATCCAAGCAGCTCACTGCTGTCGTAAGAACTGCCGGAGGGCTGGGTTGGCGCCGCACCCCTTCTTCAATGTTTTCTAGCTCTTTGGAGATGTCCTGTGACCTGGACACTGTTTGCATGCTGCTTTGGGGAGAGCAACTGTTCAGTATCAGCGCACAGGTTGGGAAGCAGGCTCGGCATTGCCACCCTTGAGCCCTGGGAGCAGCAGCCGCTCTAGCTGCTCCGGGATCTTGGGCTTGCCTGCCATGCCACGACAAGGGCCAATCCAGGTGGCTCCTGCTTGGCTGTTGGCCTGGCATCTTTTCTGCCTGCCAGCAGGATACGATGCGTTGACAGTTCAGTGCAAGTTGGCTGTCCATGCGCATTCGCAGCACGTGGTTCAATTTGCTAGCTCCATGGCACCTCATCACTGTCATCATCATCCGAATCCTTCTCGTCCCCTGCCGACATCAGAAAGCAGGGCTGACAAACGACGCTGCTCAGCCAGCTCAGCCGCCTTTGTTTGCAGCCATCATGGCTGCCATGCCCATGGCACCCATGGCAGCCATGCCCATCGGATTCATCCTGCTCACAATTCCCTACCACTGAACTCGAACGTTTCTATGCTGCCGAAATCAACTTTCATGCATGCTGCATCGGCAACTTGCACCAGTGTCACATGTCTGAAACTCATGATGTCATGTCATGAAAGCGAAAGAATTGGGTGCATACAAGAGTCATTCCCATCATTGGGTTCATCATGCCCATCATCGGGTTCATGCCGCCCATCATGCCCATCATTGGATTCATGCCGCCCATCATCCTCATGCTAAACTCATGTTGTCAAACACATTTTAATAACCAACTTTGGTGCTATCTCTTACTGTGTCCCCAGCTGGTTGGGCATGCCGCATGGACAACCACAGCCACAACCACCACATCCACAGCCGCAGCCACAGCCGCAGCCACATCCACAGCCACATCCGCAGCCACAACCGCATCCAGCCATCTGCGCGCAGCCTCAAGTATTGCCCATTCACATCACACGAAACTGAATATCCTGGACAAGGAGAAACAAGGCCGGCCTCCAGCCGGGCAGCACCCTTGCAATTTGAGACAACAATGTGTGACATGCGAGCCTTCCCTTTTCTGCGGAATGTGACAAACATGCATCGGAGGCTGGAGGACGCATGCAGCTGCACAGCCTCCACAGCCACAGCAGCCGCCACAGCCGCCACAGCCGCAGCCACTGCAGCAGCTGTTCACTGGTGCAGCAACTGCACTGCCCATGCTGCCGGCGCCTACACATCACAAATATCTGGTGCGGCAAGCATGCTGCTCAATGTTGCAAACCTTGCGTTGCAACCCACATACCTTGGCATGCTTGCGCTGGTTGTTGTAAAGCTGTTGTTCCTCCAGCCTGCAGAGTCATCGAATGAGAAATGTGACGCGACATATATGAAACATACGAACTACTGCAGCAATCGCAACACTCCCTATGAATGCTGCCCACGATGCTTTGATGCGATTTTGCGCTGTATCAATTTGATCCTGTGGCCTAGCGTGTGCCATCACGGTTGTTGCCACCCAGCAAAAGCCAAGTTGAAGCCTCCTTTCCACTGGGTCCATGTCATCAATGAAGGCATCGTATAAGCGCTTGATGCCTTCCTGACTTTGGCAAATAGCACACCGAATGGCGGTCGCGAAAAATGGGGCCGGCACAAAAGCAACGATCTCATCTTCTGTCCCAATGCCAATTGCATTTTTCAGCTCAATCTCAGCAACGATACAGTCCTCCCTCGCCAACGTTCTGAAAAACGACTCTGAGGCAAAGGCGTATGATTCCCGGTCGGTACCACCTATTCTACGATCCGCCATGACCCCCTCAAATCGCAGTTGGGAACCTTTGCCGTCCTGCCAGATGCACAAGTTGCCAGGCGAACTCTTGCCAGCATCAATCCCGCAGCCCCCCCGTCCTCCCTGTAGGCTATTCTGACATAACTCCCCATTTTGATGCCTGATCACGTTGCAGCTTTGAGCATTTTGCATGGCAATACACATGATTGCTTGTCGCCTTTCTTCTTGGCCAATAAAGTTCGATTGCTGACCTTGGCGATTGCATACCGGATGTTCATGATCACCGCTTTATGATAAACAGTCAACAACGCGGAACAACACACTGGCACCAATCTGTTGGGATGGCGGCCCCTTTCGGCGCCATGGCTCCCTCTTGGCTAACAGGGAATGCTAACGCATGTAGCAATGTGCTAGCTGTGCTTGTCAGACACTATGTAAGCACGTGCATGCGAAAGACTGAACTTCATACAATGCCACATGCCATGCAAAACGAAGCAAATTCATGAACGATGTGTGTTCATGCGGCTTTCTCTCCAAGCATATGCTGCAGAAAAACAAAACATCTGGCTCCCAAAATGAATTAAACGTGCCGTCCCCGCTGACGCGCGCGCCTTGGGCTGAAAATCGCCTTCCGACAACATTTTGCCGACGCTCACCACATCCCATGAAGTCCGGCAATCTGCTCAGCGAGAAACCTGGCGCGTGATTCTGCACATGCCATCGTGTGGGTTGCTGCATGCTCCATGGCCAAGTCCGAGGAGTCTGGATTGGGGGTGCCCAAATGACCCCTTTTGTTTGGGTGCCAACTCAAAGCGGCATATGGAAGAGCGCGCGATGAAACCATCGCTTCCTGCCTGGCGAACTTTTCGGCCCTGCGGACACGCTGCAGCCCCGCTACGGCTGGTGCCGCGCGCCTCGCCGTTCGCTTTGACAGCTTGGGACTGCGTGAGGCAGCAGCATCCAGAAGCCGACCGGCACGCCGCGTATCCACACGCGCGCCCCAGGCATCGTGACCCGTATGATGGCGTTTTTATGAGCAAACCCGTTTTCAGGTTTTGCGTTTTGCATTCGTCGCAACATGGATTCGTAAGCTTTCACTCCCTTGAATTTGTGCGCACTTTACGTAAATGTTGCAAGTCCCCATGATACATGTGTTGCATAACATGAAGGTTCAGCAGCAACATGATTGATTCCGTCTTGTTTCACCGATGTTAGACATGGAATTGATGGCGTTGATCATGTGCAAGGTCCTGCATTCGCTTTGAAAATGGCGCCTCGAGTTTTTTTTCACCAACATCCTTTGCCAAAATCGCCCCCACGGCCTGTCCCTGTGACCATGCAAGAGTTTGTTTGCCATGAGCATCATGTGCGGCATGTAAATGCGAAAAAATGACCAAGTTTACCTGCAATTTTTTGAAATGAAATCGAGACTTGCTTCTGCACCACCTCCTCGTGACATCACACTCGTTTATGTTTGTATCCGCACCAAAAACACACAGAACCTTTTGATGCAAAGGGCCGTGCGGGTTGGTCACGGTATAATGGGCTCGTTGGGCCTTTCTATGCGATCATTTACCTGTCATGGTGCTGTCATCCATGCTTTTGCGAAGCCAAAGCACAGGACGCGCGGCTCAATTTTTGCAGCATGATTGCATTGAAGAGACAGGTCTGTGAACGACCGTGGGTCACGGGCAGAGTGAAAATGACTGCAATGCACCATTCGCATAACAACACGACACATCATAACTAAACACAAGACATAGCAACATTAACAACACAAATTGAAACCGGTGCACGCGCAATGGCGTATGCATGTACAAAGCTGCATGCCGCACTCACATATGCATTTCATATTTCGCATGCTGGGTAGATGGGTATGGTATGATGCTGCATGGTACCAGTTGCCAACTCAGATCTCGCACGCATCCGCAGCCCTGCACACATGAGCAACAAACGCAATGTTGCGCAAAATGTCTCGTGCACGATTCACATTGGGATCAGTGCTGAACAAAGTGTGGAGGGTAAGAGGCAC